ACGGTGAAGAACAACTATCCGCTTCCCAAAATTGAGGATTTATTCGATCAGCTGAGGGGAGCCAGTGTATTTTCCAAAATCGATCTCCGCTCTGGTTACCATCAGCTAAAAATCAGAGAGGCCAACGTGGCCAAGACCGCTTTCCGAACCAGATACAGTTATTATGAGTTTGTTATGATGCCGTTTGGTTTAAGCAATGCGCCAACGTTATTCATGGATCTCATGAACCGTGTCTTCCATCCATTCCTGGACCAGTTTGTCATCTTCTTCATTGATGACATTTTGGTCTATTCCAGTAGACCGGAGCAGCATGAGGAGCACTTGAGAACTGTTTTGGAGACTCTTCGGCGTGAGAAATTACATCCCGCAACCAGTTAGTATTTTTGAAAATCAAGCTCGCACGACCTTTCGAAAATAAAAGCAAACATTTTACTCTGATTTTCAAAGCTAGTAAGGCAGGGTGTGACATATAACATTTTGCTTCAAAACACGATGGGACGATAAATATATATTATCCACATCAAATAATGGTACCGTGTTCGAAAACAAGTCTTTCCTTAGACTATATTTTTCGTACTTGCCCCTATTTACCCTTATTTTCCTCAACTTCCTTAAACGTGTAAGATTTTGCTTTAAAACACGATGGGGCGATAAATATATGTTATCCACATCAAATTATGGTGCCGTGTTCGAAAACAAGTCTTTTCGGAGACGTTGCTTACCTTTTTCGTACTTGCCCCTATTTACCCTTATTTTCCTCGACTTTCTTAAACGTGTACCATTTTGCTTCAAAACACGATGGGGCGATAAATATATGTTATCCACATCAAATAAAGGTGTCGTGTTTGAAAACAAGTCTTTCCGGAGACGTTGCTTACATTTTTCGAAATGGCCCCTATTTACCTTTATTTTCCTCGACTTTCTTAAACGTGTACCATTTTTCTTTAAAACACAATGGGGCAATAAATATATGTTATCCACATGAAATAATGGTGTCGTGTTTGAAAATAAGTCTTTCCGGAGACGTTGATTACAATTTTCGTTCTTGCTCCTATTTACCCTTATTTTCCTCTACTTTCTTAAATATGTACCATTTTGCTTCAAAACACGATGGGGCGATAAATATATGTTATCCACATAAAATAATGGTGTCGTGTTAAAAAACAAGTCTTTCTGGAGACGTTGCTTAAATTTTTTGTTCATGCCCCTATTTACCTTTATTTTCCTCGACTTTTAAACTCGGTACCATTTAGCTTCAAACACAATGGGGTGATAAATATATGTTATCCACATCAAATAATGGTGTCGTGTTCGAAAACAAGTCTTTCCGGAAATGTTGCTTACATTTTTCGTACTTGCCCCTATATACCCTTATTTTCATCGACTTTCTTAAATGTATACCAATTTGCTTCAAAACACGATGGGGCGATAACATATGTTATCCACATCAAATAATCACGTGTTCGGAAACAAGTCTTTCCGAAGACGTTGCTTACATATTTCGCACTTGCCTCTATTTACCCTTATTTTCCTCGAATTTCTTAAATGTGTACCATTTTGCTTCAAAACACGATGGGGCGATAAATATATGTTATCCACATCAA